TTTTTTTTTTTTTTTTTGGTATATATTTATAAACACTATATCACGCTAATTGAGAAGCTTCTACTATGTTCCAAGTTGCGAACTTCTTCCCCAAGCTTCGAGTCGAGTTCCAGTGTAACGAGCAATACAAATACCCCCATATTTGCAATTTACGAACTTTATAATAGTTTTTTGCAACCCACTTACGTTTCTGTTTCTAGCTACAGCTTAAGTGGCGATGGCGATTTCCAGAAGCTCATCAGCCGCGCGGCTGAGCAGGGCGGCGGCCGCCGCACTCAAGGGTTCCCCGGCCAGCACTCGACGAATTCCTCGAATCCCTGCACCTACCCCTGCCACGACCCGCTCAGCTTCCGCTGCTGCCGGCCCCGGGCTCTGGCCTCGGGCCGAAAATACCGCTAATGCGAGTGGATTATACTCCACCCATTTATTTTCTACATCGTGCCTCAGTCGCAGCCTTTCGAATTGGAGCCCTGGTTTCACTCGCTCTTACTCTGCAGCTGCTGCTTCAGGACAGGTAGTCTTCATACAAATTCTATACATCACGTGTTTCGGAATGCAATCTTGTTGCGTTTGTTAATGCATAGCCCAAAAGCTCAATTTTTCGTTTCTTTAAAACCCCTGAGGGTTTATGCCTTTATACATTCGGCTGCTGAGCATGTTCACTACTTTATTCTCAACTGTGTTACATAAGCGGAGTAATGAGGATTAAAAAAAGGGAGTTTGATCAGAATTTCGATTCGTTTTACAATGCCTCGCTTGAGTTAGAGTCGGGTTTCTCTACGCAGAATCTCTAAGGGAAGCATATCAGAGGGTTTACAAATTAGTCTAGCTGGGTTTATTTGTTTATCTTTGAAGGTTGGATTAATTTGCACGTTTCGGCTTTGTTATTTTACTTAACAGCTCAGTGGCTCGGATTTTACCGAGATGGCATGGGATGGAGTTGTTGGAGCTGTGGATGCAGCTAGGGACTGCAAACAACAAATTGTGGAAACCGAGCATCTAATGAAAGCTCTATTGGAACAAAAGGATGGGCTGGCAAGGCGAATATTTACCAAGGCTGGTATCGACAACACAACACTTTTGCAGTCGACTGACAGCTTTATATCTCAGCAACCAAAGGTATAATTTCTGAGAGTAGATGTGTCGGGGAGTTTTTCCGAAAACTTTTAACTAACTTCTCCCAGCAGGTTTCAGGGGACACTAGTGGACCTATCGTGGGCTCCAATTTCGGTACTCTGTTGGACAATGCAAGAAAGTTTAAAAAGGATATGGGTGATAAGTTTGTTTCCGTTGAGCATCTGGTATTGGCTTTTCCTTCTGATAGGAGATTTGGGCAACAACTGTTCAAAAACCTTCAACTGAGTGAGAAGGATTTGAAGGAGGCCGTTCAAGCTGTTCGCGGTAGTCAAAGAGTTACTGACCAAAGTATGTTCTAGCATCTTACATTGTCAGTTATTTGAGAAGTCTATATATTGTGTAAATAGTAGTACTATACTATGTTAACGGCCGAAAAAAGCTATGAGTAGATGGTTTTCTTCCATTATCTACTAGGATACACGATAATTGACTCAAAAATATCTTCTACTTTAAGGTTCAGAGGAACTCAGGGATCGTTAATCATTATATATATATATATATATATATATATATATATATATAATATATGTATATATATATATATATTTGACCTTTACGTTCGACAACACCTTCACACCGTTGCCGATGAGAAGTACGTCATCAACGAATAGGAATAGTATAAGAATAGTAGAAGAAATACCACAACGTTTCTGTCGCACTTCTTATACACACTGCTTTTCCCCCTACTCAAAAAGTAGAGTTACATGTGAGTTCCGATCGTGATATGACAAACAAATCTGACTTTATCTTTCCCAAGCTAGCGCCTTAGGATCCTACATTGAGACCACTCAGTACACTTATGACTTCTGTTTCTTGCGTTTGGTTTTTATTTAACATGAGATTAGTATGTCGTGAAGGTAATTGAAAGAAACATGACTTAAAACATATTGATTTTATTTTGGACTCAAAGTAGCAAATCTTTTTCAGTTGTTAGTTAACAAATAATGGCCAGAAACATTGTTGTCACTCATATTTTCTGTGGAAGTAGTTATTTGGGAAGGAGTTATCTTTATTTTATTATTCACTGGCTCTAGCTGTCCGTGGAGGTGTTCTCTTTATTTTACTTTTCGTCTTCTTCACTGGCTGTTGTATACTGACAGTTGAAGTTGATTGGTATCTTGTACAGATCCAGAAGGCAAATATGAGGCACTTGACAAGTATGGGAATGACTTAACTGAACTTGCCAGACGTGGAAAACTTGACCCAGTTATAGGACGTGACGATGAAATACGACGATGCATTCAAATTTTATCACGCAGGACAAAGAACAACCCTGTTATAATTGGGGAACCTGGAGTAGGAAAAACTGCAATTGCTGAAGGGTACCATCTTGATTTGTTTGCAGTCAAGATTTAAATCTAAAAAAATTGCTCTTTAATGTGTTCTTCCTTGCGTTCTTTCAAAATGTTCTCCCTTAAAAATTAATGCCAATTATTGCTGATCACTCTGAGAAATTGAAGATTGGTTGTCACCTCACATGTTTCTACCTTACATTTCTGGAAAAATTGCTCACATGATACTTTTTAAATTTGCAGGTTAGCTCAAAGGATTGTTCGTGGGGATGTCCCAGAACCATTGCTCAATCGAAAGGTTGTAGGCACTGTCTTTCTGTGTCTCACTAAAGCAATTTTGTTATTAGTTCAATGTTTTTTTGTCGGTGAACTTATATTGTTTCATCAAAGAATTACTGTAAGTTAAAATTACACTTCTTTATTGATAACTACTTTGAATTTGTGTTGTTTGTTTTTATATGTGGAGTAGTTAATCTCTCTGGACATGGGTTCATTGCTTGCTGGTGCAAAATATCGCGGAGATTTTGAGGAAAGGTTGAAAGCTGTATTGAAGGAGGTTACTGCATCCAATGGGCAGATCATATTGTTTATTGATGAGATTCACACCGTAGTTGGTGCAGGTTCTAATTTCTCTGTTGTTGAAACAAATTTTTTTTTGTCTATTTATTGCATTAAGCAACCGCATCCTTCTGGTTTGTAGCAAGGGCTACCCATTATATGTCCAAAGTAATTCACTATTAGTATGATTAAGATACTCCTAGAATTTTTTTATTTTTTATTTTTACTTTATTTAACTTCTAATCTATTAGTGATTGTAATATATTTCAAATTCTGTCTACTGTATTCCTCTGATGATGAGTATAAAACTCTACTTGATGTTCAGGGGCCACTGGAGGTGCCATGGATGCTGGAAACTTATTAAAACCCATGCTTGGCCGAGGAGAACTGAGATGCATTGGGGCCACCACGCTGAACGAGTACAGAAAATACATAGAAAAAGATCCCGCTCTTGAACGTAGGTTTCAACAAGTATTTTGTGGTCAGCCGTCTGTAGAAGACACAATATCTATCCTGCGTGGACTTCGTGAACGTTATGAATTGCACCATGGTGTGAAAATATCAGACAATGCTCTTGTTTCAGCCGCAATTCTTTCAGATAGATACATCACAGAGCGGTTTCTGCCAGACAAAGGTGGGGTCCTACATAAATAATCTTTGGTTTGAATGAATATTACCTAAAGGTTGTTGGTGATTAAATATTTGCATTTTCGTATAAATTTTGCAATGCCACCAGCCATTGACCTTGTCGATGAAGCTGCTGCGAAACTTAAAATGGAGATAACATCCAAGCCTACTGAACTGGACGAGATAGATCGGGCAGTGCTTAAGTTGGAGATGGAAAAGCTCTCTTTGAAAAATGACACAGCTGCAGCTTCCAAAGAGAGGCTGACCAAGCTGGAACACGATTTAGGAGTTCTCAAACAAAAGCAAAGGGATTTAAATGAGCAGTGGGAGAATGAGAAAGTTCTCATGAATCGGGTCAGGTCGATTAAAGAAGAGGTAATAATCATCAATCAACCAGTGTTTAAATTATCAGCAACACTTGACCAAAAGATGCGAATATGACAGCACTTTTTTTTGTTGTTGTTTGGTGGGTAGATTGACCGAGTCAACCTAGAGATGGAAGCCGCTGAACGGGAGTACAACCTCAGCCGAGCAGCTGAACTCAAGTACGGCACACTGATTGCACTCCAGCGCCAGCTGGAAGAAGCTGAGAAGAGCCTCTCCGACTACCAGAAATCCGGCAAGTCATTACTTCGTGAGGAAGTCACAGATCTCGATATCGCCGAAATAGTAAGCCGGTGGACGGGTATACCCCTCTCCAACCTCCAGCAAACCGAGCGGGACAAGCTCGTCCTCCTCGAGGGGGTCCTCCACAGGCGGGTCGTCGGCCAGGACGCGGCTGTCAAGTCCGTGGCCGACGCCATCCGCCGCTCCCGGGCGGGCCTCTCCGACCCGAACCGGCCCATCGCCAGCTTCATGTTCATGGGGCCCACAGGAGTCGGAAAAACCGAGCTGGCCAAGGCTCTTGCAGGCTACCTGTTCAACACCGAGAATGCGCTCGTCAGAATCGACATGAGTGAGTACATGGAAAAGCATGCTGTGTCTCGACTAGTGGGGGCCCCACCGGGTTATGTTGGGTATGAGGAAGGTGGGCAGTTGACTGAGGTTGTCCGGCGCAGGCCATACTCGGTTGTACTTTTTGACGAGATCGAGAAAGCGCACCATGATGTTTTTAATATACTGTTGCAGCTGTTGGATGATGGGAGGATTACAGATTCTCAGGGGAGGACTGTGAGCTTTACGAACACGGTTCTGATTATGACGTCTAACATTGGGTCGCATTATATTCTGGAGACGCTTAGGAATACGCAGGATGGGAAGGACGCGGTTTACGAGGTGATGAAGAGGCAGGTGGTTGAGCTGGCGAGAGAGACTTTCCGGCCGGAGTTTATGAACAGGATTGACGAGTACATTGTTTTCCAGCCGCTCGATTCTGAACAGATCAGTAAAATTGTCGAGATTCAGGTATTTTTTGTTTTCTTAGGTACACTCTGTCTTAAAACTAAATTCTAAAATATGTAACAAAAAATGTAAAAATTTTAAAAACTAAAATAACTTAATGTAGGAAATTAAAAAAAAAAAAAAAACCCCGAAAGAAGTAAAGACCAAATAATTCGAGGGTTTTATTAATATGTTAATTTTGAAAAAGTTGATATGGTTAGTTAGTGAGATTTAAGTTTGTGTTAAAATACAATGATTAAAATTGATTTAATGTAAAAGTAGGACATAAATGATTGAAAGTGGTAGGTAGTTAAAATGACGTGAGTCGATGAATAGTGAATTAAAATTGATATGATGTATAAGAATGCTTGATTGACATTATTTAATTTTGTTGATAATATTGAGGATAGTGGAGTTTTTAGTTGAGTTAAATTTTGAGTATAAACAAACACCAAGACCATAAAATGTTTGCAAAATCCAAGAAATTTTTTATCTGAAATTATAACCCTAAAAATAGACGATTAGAACTAAAAAGTCGATTTTCTTTCTCTGTCAATCTGTTAGGTAGAAGTTCTTATGAATTTTATGAAACTCATTTTCCAGTCATTTTTAAGTTCAACCATCAAGTGATGTGAAATCTGGCGGGAAACATTTTTTTTTTTTTT